ATGTGCTTTAAGTTACAGTGATTGGATTGCTCGGCATTTCAGCTGAGTTAATTAGATGGCCCTTGCTGATTTGGGAGGGAGCTACAGAAAGCGCGTTCAGCTCTTCTGAACAACTGTACAGTTAGAGAAGTTATGTGTTGTCGCTCACGGTTCAGGAAATCTTTTCAAGTCATGAGATTCAAAGGGTAAGTGCCTCCCTGATGGTGTTGGGAACGGTGCAGGAGAGAGAAAATACAATTATTTGCAGAAGGCAGAGACGGAAGATGTTGATAATTTACGACAGAAAATGTGATTAGAAAATGTTAGCACAGCTTCAGGACTGCACAGGATAAGTTACGCCTGATCTCTGCCAGTCCTGATCCCGTTTTGGAAAGCCCTGTTTTTGTTTGAAAAGGGGAAAACGCATCTGTGTGTAGGCCAACAGGTACCCAGTTTTTCAACCCCCTGCTGTCCCTTTAGGGCTGCCATCCCATATTGTTCTGCTGAAGACAAAGCTTTGTGTTGACTCATCCATTTTTCTGATGTAAGAAAACTCTTAACATAATCACATGGAGTTAGATTATCTTCAGAACTGCAGGGCTGGAAGAAAAGAATATTTAGCCCTTTACCCACCCCCTCCATTTTACTGATCTGAATAATCCTCTGAAACTGCCATTAGGTCCTTGATGGCAGGAGAAATGCTGATAACGTCAAAAGTGCTCCCTCCCCTCCCTCTCCGCCCATTGCTGAACTAACAGCATCTTTGGAGGAAAGGGCTTAAATTGGGAGAAACAGCGTGGAGAGGGAACAGCACTAAATCTACCCAGTGTCTCCATATTTCAGCTTTAATCAATTAATCCCCCTTGTCTCCCTGTCTGTGCATGTTTATGTTATGAAAACATATCAAGAGATCGTCTCACAAATCTCCTGCACTGCATCTGCTTTGACCCTGATTGAACATACTATGCCCAGAAAGTAGGGTTTGCAGCTGAGATAGGCAGAGCTGAGCATCAGTCACATTGGACGTCACTTCCAAGCTCCAGGGAACTCCTCCTGGGGCTTCCAACGTTGCGCTTCCCTTGCTTTGTTGGCGCTTTGTTGATTTAGCGACTTTTGTAAAACCGTGGTAGGTTTCTTTGTAAAGGGCAGGGGGGCTCTGAGACTCACTTAGGTTTTTCACGGACACCTTCTTTGGTTTTCAGTCCGTCTGTTGAACAAAGGTTGCTTTGAACAGTAAAAGAGGGTTATGAAAGCTTCCTTGTTGATGTTCTGGAATATCACGAGCAAGACAAAGCCCACAGGACGTTCTTAGTTGCTTGACATAATATGAAACATAGAACTGGTGAAAAATACAAGCTAAGGCCACAGTCTGAAAATACTGTTACCAAATTTGGTGATTTGGTAGTTCTGAGGGTGCATACAAAGTGGTCTCACACTGGACTGGATGACCACAATTTCCTAGAGAAGGATTCTATACAGAGAGGGAAGAGCAAGACATTTTGGTTCCAGTTTCTGCTTCACTTTAATGTGCTTTATTTATTACATGTCATGGTAATTTTACGTGATATGACATAGCTAGCATAACATCCATGTTTGTTAACTTTGCTCCAATAAAGTAGTAATGAACCAAAGTATGCAGGAATTTTTCTGTGCTTAAGGTTGTTTTGTGTCACACTGGTCAATGGTGGTGGTTTCTTTAGGCTTTTTAAAGCCCAACTTTACTCTGAAACTAATCTTTTTTTTTTTTGAGAGGGAATGAAATGCATTTCTTGAGGGGGTGAGTGGAAAGTATTTTTCTCTATAAACAACTTTTTGTACTTGGATTGTTTCTTACCCCTCTGGATCCAGTTGATTGTTTCACTTAGCTGTGAATAAAATTGTTTTATAGGAACATTCTTCCAGAAATACAGTGATGTTTGTTTTCATTGCAGATGCAATTTCCGTTTTCCATTTCAAGCCTTTTTCTTTTGTCTTTGTTTGGAACTAATTTGCAGATGTGCATACTCCTTTTGAATAAAATGTTTGCACACACTTTTAAAAGTGCTTTCTTCCTTCACTGGAAAATCACTGAACCCATTTTATAATACTAAGCATGATAGACCAGGGGAAAATGCAACTTTACAATATGCCTGTGATCTGCAACTTCTGGAAAGGGAGATCCTGACTTACTGGACCAAGCATAATAATCAAAGTGACAGGCATTCCAAGCTATCTTTGGTGGAGTAAATATGGAAATGAAGCATTTTTACGCTTGAGAAAGATACTTTAGATAAGTTTTTCCTCCCTTTCACCCCAAAAGGCAGGATCAACAAAAGCTTTCAGTAGATCAGCTTTCCTCAACCTGGCCATCCACCATGCATGCAGACTTCAGTTCCCAGAATTCTCCAGCCGACGTGGCCATTGTTAATGATTCTGGGAGTTCAGAACTACCCATTTGGAGGACGCCTAGGTTGGGGAAAGCTGGAAGAGCTATTTGCACTGGGCAAACATCACCTCTGCTTCTGCTTGCTAAAGGGAGATGTAAGGACATTATGCCTGGTTCATCTATACCTTGTTCGTTGTGCTAATTGCTGGGGCTGAAGTGCAAACAGGAGTATTTTCCACACATCTGGATTCCTTGGTGGAACAGTGAATACTCTTCAAAGTCAACTCCCCTGGTAGAGGCATCGCCGGGTGTTCATGAAGCTTTCGGGAACCTGCAGATAGAGCCCATCTAACGTGACAGGAATGGCTGACCTTGGCTGGGATCAAAAAGCTAAGTAAGGTTGGGCCTAATTAGTTCTTGGGTGTGAACTGGTTTTGCAGACACTGTGATGCTTTCACACCTAGACATGCTTTGCCTTCTGGTGTACACGTACTAAGAGAGCACACACTTCAGACATTCTACATAACCAAGAGTTGAGCATTTCACAGTGGCTACTAGAAATGTTACTTTACTCCAGCTAGGTGGCAGCACCTCCCCAGTCTGGGTTGATCTCAGAAGCACCCCAGAAGCTGGTGACAAACCATTTCTGGATTGTTACCCAGATAAGTACATGAATTCAGCAGAAGTCAAGCTTGCCAGGCTTGAAGGAGACAAGCAGCTTTCGATCAGTTTGGGATGATGTTTGTGTATAGAAGAGGCAGAAATCTGATTCAGTGGAAGGAAACACGTTATTTTGATTACGTTTCATTCTAAAAACTCTCATATCTGAAAGATTATCAAAGTTCAAAGGTTCTTGGACTCCATACCAGGATGCCAGGCACTTCCCACCGAACCACCATCTTTTTTTAAAAAGATAATAGAAATAAACATGAAGCTGGCATTCTGTACAGTTGTTAAAGCCTATACTGTTAACACCTTTACTTCAATCATGCCTCTGAACCTACAAGAAAATGGCCAGTGGTTGAAGCCCTGGTCTGTATTTAGAAGTGTGTTCAACTGTCTACAGAAAAAGTCAAAGGTAAGTTGGGGTGGTGGTAGACACTAGGTAGATGGTGGGGAACCTCACCCATTTTCATGGGGTGTATTAGTGATTAGTGATCCATGGGGCAGCCACTTCATCAGTACATTAGGCTTGACCCCCAAAATAGAGTGCTTCATGCCCTCAAGGGTTTTGGGGAAGCTTGAAGATCACATCAGAGCTGTCTTGCTGTTATGTTATTGAGTGTGTGTGTATGTCAGTCATTCAGAATCTTCAGAAATGGAGCAGCATAGAAGCCCAAGTGAAGAATAAATATGCATGCACCCTGGCTCTCTACCAAGTTTTCCCACCTCTTTGTTTGCAAAATGGGCCAGTGGTTTTCCTAGTGCCTTTCCCCCGCACACACAATCTCTCTTTGTTACCAGGTGGTTTAAATGGAGATTTTCAGGGTGAAATTTGACATCGCTCATTGACATATGTTGGAATTCCTGATCTGGTTATGCAGTCTTCAGCTGGAGGCAGCTAATAAAAGTGGCATCTCTGGAGATTTATCAAATTTCCTAAGCGAGTTGCAAAGAGAGGAAGATGCTGGGATATAGAGCACTTCAGTTTTTATCCCAGTTTAGAAAGAAGTTAAAGAATATGCCTTCTAACTTGGGAAAGCTCTGCGAGAAAACACTCGAACTTTGAGGCTGATTGCACACCCTGCTTGTTTCCACACCTACAGCAATCTAAAATGAGATTTAAGGTGCAGAACCAAGTGACTTTTTCTTGTATTAAGCAAAGGAATGTTTGCAGCTATAGCAACTCAGTTCAGAGCCTGCTAAGCAAGCTTTGGAATGAAAGGCAGGCTATACGTCTAATAAAAGAAATACTGAAATGGGTGTATAACTTTTGGGAGGGGGCAAAGGCCACATTTGGCACTGAACTGCACACTGCAATGTGTTTTTCCAATAAAGATAAATGTGAAATGGGCACCAAGTTCCTAACCGTATTATTTCACCAGCAGTTCTAAGGATTGGAGAAGCACAAATAAGAGATTCCATCATAAACACCTTTCTTTTCCAGTTGTTTTTGGAGTGCTAAATTCTGCATTTGGTATAAAGTCAAAGAAAACCACATTTGTAGGAAGATTTTTTTTTTCCCGCCTTTAAAAACAAAGCAAGTACAGCCATCTTGCCTTGAATCTGTAACACCATTCAACATCAATTTTGCAAGAATGGTGACTTAAAAAAGAAAAAAGCAGTAACC